CCAAATCTGAATGAGAAATTCAAAAGCATGTGGATTATGTGAACGATTTCACAAATGTGAAGTTTGTGATCGTCGGATCCTTTGCTCTGCACAGATAGCCTTCATCTTTGAACTTTTTATGCCATCTCCAAATCTGCATTCCTGTTGGTGACTTTCTAGAGAACTCTCTCATAAATGCACGCTGCACAGTCTTGTTTGACTGTGTTCTAGCAAACTCCAACACACAAAAACGCCTTTTCTCTTCTAGTAAATAGCATTTTTTATACCTGTAAAGAAAAAGATTAAAGAACATAAAAAATACAAATAAAGAAAACACAAAAAACATAGACATAAAAACATAAAACAAACATTAAACATAAAGATGCTATTAAAATTTGAAGTCATTTGAAGGAGATCTAACAAAGTTATTAGATTGCGAAATGATATCAAATTTTTTGAAACACCCTGTATTTTACCAGCATTAATGTGTTAATAGCTAAATAGACAGGGAATGGCAGAGAGTCACGATCGCCTACATAGAATATTTTCTTTTTGTCGATTAATCTCCACTAAAAGCCTCCAGTTATAAAAAGAACAAGAAATTATGTTTGTCGTCATATTTAATGATATCCGCCAATCCGTGGGTGGTGGGAGACGGATTAGGAATTAACGACTAGGCCCGCCCCTAATCCCTCTAGATATCATGCTAGGCTTTAAAACCTATCTCTCCCCTTTACTCTCCATTAACAAAACCTTACAAACTGACCCTTTTTTACGTGCTTAATTTAGTAACAGTGTGCGTTAAGAGCAACAAAGAACAGGAAGTTGTGGAGAGCCATAATCGCCTACGTCCTAAAGGGACACGACACACGTTAGTGTGAGTTTTTCAGACTAATAACGTTGTTTGGTGTTATCTCTACTTACTTTTATTTTAGGCGCCGTGATTTTTCAGGACGTAGGCGATCATGGCTCTCCACAATTTCCTATCTTTTGTAGCTCTTAAATGACTCGCTGCCTCCCTCTTTCCTTTATGCCTTCGATATTTCTTGTGGGTGTCAGATGCTAACCAGGTAGGCCACTCACTACTTCCCTCTGCCCTTTTTCACTTCTATAGGCCTTTTGTGTGCCATATTTTCCAAACCCTCTTTTTTCATTATGTGTCACAAAGTTTTCAGCTGTTTCTATTTTCCTTAAAACCTTCGAACATTTTTGACTGACAAACATGTCATGATTCGTGGTTGGCAGTTTTTATTATGATGCTGGCTTTTTAGAAATCTTTCCACCGAAAGGAAGGCAATGAAACCACTAAGATATAGGGGGGGTACTGTAAATGTAGGGAAATATGAGAAAAACTACTATTAATGAGAGAGGACAATAAAAGAACTGGAATTAAGAAGAGAGAAGATAACGATTGACATTGCATTTAAATTTTTGAAGATCAAAGGCAATAAAGCCACTAGGATGCAAGGGGTTACTGAGTGTTAGAGAATATGAGACAAACTACTATTAATGAGAGAGGACAATAAAAGAACTGAAATTAAGAAGACAGAAGATAATGATTGACAAAGCATTTAATCTTTTAAAGATCAAAGTTGACTGGAAAGAAGCCGGAAGAGAGTTTCGCAACGAGAAATGCGGCAGAAGAAATTATTAGCATAGGATTTACGGTTTTTCACGAGCTAAGAATAAGTTTATTCGCAGTCATAGGTTTAGTGTGAAAATAATATTAACATTTCAGTTGAAATTATAAATCCACTCGAAATTTTAGACACTCAGATCAGGAACTGACTATAAGTGGGGGGGAAATTCAGTATAACTTTATAGTAGGAAAAGCAGCAGATGACATTCGACAAACATTAAAGCAAAAAAGAATGAAAAGAATTAAAAAAAAAAACAAAAAAAAACTTGTCGGATATTATAACAACGATACACCTTGAAATTAAAACCATTAAAAGAAGCAAAGATAGAGATAATTTAGGATAGTAACGCGATAAATATTTGTGTTTTTTTTTAGTTTATGTTAGATAACATTTTCATGTTTTGCATAAAGCCATATTGAAATTACGCATTAATCTATCTATCTATCTATCTATCTATCTATCTATCTATCTATCTATCTATCTATCTATCTATTCTCAGTCTGTTCCTATCTATCTATCTATGTAGGTATCTCTCTCTCTTTCTCTTTCTCTATCTCTCTCTCTGTATATATATATATATATATATATATATATATATATATATATATAGTCTGTCTGTCAGTCTGTTTCTATCTATCTATCTATCTATCTATCTATCTATGTAGGTATCTCTTTCTCTTTCTCTTTCTCTCTCTCTATATATATATATATATATATATATATATGGTCTACCTGTCTGTCTTTCTCAGTGGATTCATGCTTAAGCAATAAAATACGTTTGATTATTATGTTTGAAACTGAGCATATATATATATATATATATATATATATATATATATATATATTTACATGAATCAGGAGGATGTGTGTATCTTCAACACCCCCACAGCCCATCTGTAGTTTCTGCTGCAACTATGATCAGCAGAGGACAAGGCCAGAAACGCTCATACCCTCGGCCACGATGACTTGTGACTTCGTCCTAACACAACAAGCGATGGTTTCGAATTGGTCCGTCAACCCAATTTTGCTTTTTGCGGATGATTTTCTGTCGTATAATTTTGCAAAGACACCGCCGCAAGTGACAATTCGATCATGGTGAGATTCGAACCCGGGCCTCGTGTTGTAAAATTCTTGGGCAAGTTCTCTATACAATAAGTCCCCAAAAGAAATCTCGAGAATAATACCATAAAAAAGGAAAACTTTAAGAGAAGCATCTTGTCAGTCATTTTAATGAAACACGCACACACACGCACACACACGCATACACACTCTCGCTCTTTCCTCTCTCACACACATACACACAAACTCTCTCTCTCTCTCTCTCTCTCTTTCTTTTTCTCACAGATACACAGACAAACAGGCACACACACAAACACACACATGCATAGACACTCTCGCTCACTCCTCTCTCACACACATACACGCAAACTCTCCCTCTTTCTCTCTCTTTCTTCTTCACACAGACACACATACACACACACACGCACGCACACACACTCTCGTTCTCTTCTCTCTCGCACACATACACACAAACTCTTTCTCAATCTTTCTTTTTCACACACACACACACACACACACACACACACACACACACACACACACACACACACACTTATATTTTTATACCACTCCCTTCCCCACCGCGTAACGCAGCATCCCTGTGCCTTTCCTATAAATACTTTTATGGTAATTCTTCCGATGAACTTTCCTCTATGGTACCTTGTTTTTACCAATTTAAGCGCAGTACTAGATTGGCGGCTAGGTCTCATCGTTCTACTGTTGGATTGTTTTTTTAATGTTCTCTCTCCTTAATAATGTTATTCTTTTCCGGTGCTCCTGTTATATATTTAGAGATTCTTTATAAAATCCAAAGAAGAATCAACAATATTATTGGGCTTAATAATTCTTCCTTTAACCTTTTCTACTTCTATCCTTTGCCTTTCTTTTTCTTTTTTCTTTCTTCTTTTCTTCCTCTTTGTTATGGTCCAGGTTAGGACCAAGGAAGAACAACACGAACACAAGACTAGAAATAATGAAGGTATATTCCACGAAATAATAATACAAGATGTGGAAGGTCTTAGTATGACTGTCAGTCTGGTTTGGAGTGAACTACTATCGGATCGGATCGATTCGATATTTACTTGCCCCCCACGAGAGAAAGATGTGGCACAAGGCCGAGTTTTACGTGGGTTTTTCGAGTCCGTAAGCTCGGTCAAAAAATGCCCGTAGAAACTGTAAAAACAGAATCGGGTTGGTCAACTTCTCCGAACGAGGCTCTACCCTTCGGCGGAGCCTCGTCGGGGTTCCTCTCTGCTCAGTGGCAGAGAGTTCGACAGTCAAGCCAAGAAGCTCGGCTTGATTCGGTATCTAGAACCCCCCCCGCACACACGAGAGTTGCATGTGGCACAAGGCCGAGTTTAACGTGGGTTTCCCGAGTCCATAGGCTCGGCCAAAAAATGACCGTAGAACCCGTATAAACGGGATCGGGTTGGTCAACCCCCACCGAACGAGACTCTGCCCTTCAGCGGAGCCTCGTCCGGGTTCCTCTCTGCTCCGTGAAAGAGAGTTCGACCGTCAAGCCGAAACGGCTCGACTCGATTCGGTATCTAGCCACCTCCCCACGAGGGTTGCATGTGGCACAAGGCCGATTTTAATGTGGGTTTCCCGAGCCCGTAGGCTCGGCCAAAAAATGCCCGTAGAACCCGTATAAACGGGATCGGGTTGGTCAACCTCCCTGAACAAGACTCTGCCCTTCGGCGGAGCCTCGTCCGGGTTCCTCTCTGCTCAGAATCAGAGAGTTCGACCGTCAAGCCGAGAAGCTCCACTCGATTCGTCCATCTCTCTTGAGAGGCCTAGTATACATAGTGTTAGGAAGAGTTTATTCTGTAGTTATATGTAAGGACCCATTACACTTTTCTTTTTATTTTTTATTTCTTCTTCCTTTTGCCTTTTCTTCTTCCCTCGTTTTTTCTTTCATTTTCATTTATTCGTTCATTTCCCCCCTCTCCTTTCTTTTCTTTTCGTCATTTTTTCTTCACTTTTGCTTTCTTTACAGTTCTACTTCTCTTCTTTCTCCTTTTTTTCTTTCTATTTCTCAATAGGCCTCTTTCATTATTCTCGTTTTTCTTATTACCCTTTAGACACTTTTTCTACTTCACTCGCTTTTTTACATCTTCTTTTCTTTCGTTTCTACATATTTCCGCCCTCCATGTTTTTTTCACCATGTCTTTCATTCAGTTTCTTCTCATGTAATCTTCTCGTATTTTCTCTTTCTCTTTCTTCTTCTCTGTCGTATTCTTTCTCTGTCTTTTTTTTGTTATTTATTTTTTATTGTAAATTGTTTGTTTCTTTTTTTTTCTTCTTCATTCTTTCTTTTGTTTCTTCTCGTGATATTTCCTTTACTTATTTCTTCTTATTTTTTTTTTTCATTCTTTCCTTCGGATTTCTCACATTTTTCTCTTTTTTTCGGCACTTCGTTCGATTTAGTCTCTGTCTATTTCTTTCGTTTTCTTCTTCTTCTCTTTCATTGTACTTCTATTGCTTTACCTTTTCCTTCTCCATTCCTTCTTACTCTATTTCTTTCTTCTTTTCCCTTCTTTCTTTTCTTCCTTGTCACCTCTCTTTTTCGTTTTTTTCTTCTTATTCTTGTCCTTTCTTTTTCCATTTCTCTGTTATTTCTTCTTTTTCTCCGCTTACTCTTTCTTTTTCTTCTTTTTTCTTTTTCTCCCCCCACCCACTTCTTTCACACTATTCTTTGCTTCCTCCTCCTTTAATTTTCATTTTCTTTTCACATTCTTTTCTGTCTCTTTCTGGTTTCTTTTTCTCCTCCATTTTGTTCACTTTCCTCTTCTTTTTCATTTTCATTCTTTTTTCTCGTTTCTAGCTTATCACATTTTTTTATTCTTTTCTTTTTGCTTTTCTTTTTCTTTTCTTCTTTACTTTTCTTTTTCTTTTCTTTGCTTTTTGTTTTACTCTTTCTTATTTAATTTCTCTTCTCATTTATCGTTTTCTTTCATTTACTTTTCCTCTTTTTGCCTTCTCCTTCTTTCTCTTCATTATTCTCTTCTCTGTCTTTCTTTTTATTCTCCTCCTCCAATTTTTTCCGTTTATTTTTCTTCATTCAATGTTTTTTCTTCTCTTCTTATTTCTTTCATTTTATTGCTTTCTTCTTCTTCTTTCTTTTTTCTTCATCCCTTTCACTTTATCATTTTTTGTCTTCATTTTCTTATTTTTCTTCCATATTCTTCTTTTTTTTAGATGATTGCTTTTGGGTTTCTTTTTTTAAATTTTATTTCATAGCTTCTTTTTCCTAATTTTCTCTCCGTTCTTCTTTACTTTTCATCTTTTCTTCCTTCTTTGCTTCCTTTCTTCTTCCAGGAAAATATTTTATCGCAATGTGATCGTATTGCACTTTTATCAGATAAGTAGCAAGTTAATCTTAGAGAGAGTGTTATGGTAATATGATCAATATAGACAGAACTTTGTTTGGTGTTGCTATCTTGTACTAGATATAAGTATTCGAATATTATTTTATGGTGTTGTCTTTTGTTTTCATTACTGGTGCTATTAGCGATAATGAGATTCGATGTTGATATATATATATATATATATATATATATATATATATATATGTGTGTATGTGTGTGTGTGTGTCTGTGTATGACAAATTGGGAAAAGCTTTCTTGTGACGCGTTTCGTCCTTACCCTAACCTTAACCTTAACCCAAGACCCTAACCCTAACCATAACCATATAGAGAATGATATGATATAATATATATATATATATATATATATATATATATATATATATATGTGTGTGTGTGTGTGTCTATCTATCTATCTATCTATCTATCTATATATATATATATATATGTATATATATAAGACAAAGTGGGAAAAGATTTCTCATGACGCAATTCATGCTTAGCCTAACCCTAACCCTTGCCCAACAAGATTAACACAATTTTGACATAAAAATGCTACTCCTATCAAAGAAGAAAGAGATCACCTTAATCGCAAGGTCATCTACAGTAAAAGCTCTTACAATATTTCACTATTCTTGGCGGGAATTCTATTATAACAGTGTGAGATAACAACTAACAAAAGAAAACGAATGAAAACGATTTTAAAATTCCCAGCATCCCTCGTTCGTGCGCATGTGTGGTCGTCCCAGCATAACCAAATTAGTCCGATGATGACCTAAATGTCAAAACGCGCTTTTTTTCAGTTTGTCATACATTTTTCTCCATATTGTTAATGATATATAAAAATATATATCGTTACGTCATAAATAATTCCCATTTTCGTTCACTAAATTTATTCTTCAATAAAATATAGTTTAGACCAGAAATTGCCACCATATCTGGGCTAGACATGCCCAGATCATTTCTTGCTTGTCTTCAAAAGCGTCTACGCGGCCTTGTGAGTGATAACTTATTTTCAAACCCATAACATATATATATATATATATATATATATATATATATATATATATATATAGTTTTAAGGTGTGCTATATTTATGGAATAAGGTGCTCAATATCAGAGATAGAGCGTATGCAAATATATATATAAAAGTGAACATTGAAGTCCAACTCAGAGGTGACAGGCTGTTTCATGCTGGACGCAACCGTCAGTCCTGACGACTGCGTCCAACATGAAACAACCTGTTGCCCTCTGATATACTTTATATATATTATATATATATATATATATATAGGTGCGATTGATAAATTGATGTCCAAATTACGCGAATATGAAAGTAAGGTTATGTTACATTTTTAAATATCGATTTTGGGACACCTTTAATTGCACCTGCTATGCATTTGAGGTGCTGCTACTGTTAAAAATCCCCAAGGGAGGTACTGGATCCGATGACGTAAAAATGAAAATAACACTGACATCTCATTTTAACAGATATATTAAGCAAAATTTCACAAAAATATCTTGGAGCATTAAAGAGTAAATTTTTTCAATAAAATCAACATTGGCTTCAACCATAGCCTCCAGACGACTTTGGAATCTCCTGCAACTCTTCTAGACGGTCTCCTTGTTTAAGTTGGTGAATTTTGCCATAATCCTTGCCTTCAGTTTATCTTTGGTGTTACAAGGTGTTTTGTTGGTCTCTCGTTCAAAATCGCCCCCACACATAATCAAGGGGGTTGCAGTCTGGGGAGGTAGATGGCCAGATGTAAGGGGTGATGTTTCTGACAACCGTGACTAGGTTCTCCTGCTTGTGTGGAATGGTGAAGAGTCATGTTGCCAGACATAAGGTCTTCCAGCAGCCACGCTCTGGACTCAGGTCTCTGTGTTGAGTGTGAGGCCCTGTGGGAAGATGAATAGAGGTATAACATTACCATCACTAGTGATCCACTCCAAACACCATGATCTTGATTGGATATATCATCTAACTCTTTCTGAATTCTCTGCAATGTCCTCAGATTGATATCCTGAAATGTTCGTATTGTAACATCCGGTGTGAAGTCGTCCCTTCTAAATTTTCGGTGGATTGAATTACGTCATGGTGCTCTTTTTCTCACAGACGGTTCTCAACTGACCCCTACGATGGCGTGCAGTTGCCAAAATCCAACAGGAAACAACGCGAAATCAAAAATATTGAATGACGATAATTTACCACTCGGGCCACACACACACACACACACACACACACACACACACACACACACACACACACACACACACACTCAGATTGACACCTAAATATTCTGAAATGTTTGTATTGGATCTTCTGGTGTGAATGCCAAGCAATACAGCATACACATAATAATCAAGGTTGCTCTCTGGGGGGGGTAGGTGGCCAGATGTAATGGGTGATGTGGTCACAGAAATTGTCTGACAGCCATGAGGAGGTTCATCTGATTGTGAGGCATGGTGCAGAGTCCTGTTGCCAGACATAGGGTTTTCCAGCAGCCACCTTTTTAACCCAGGTCACAACTACCTCCTCAAGGTATTGAATCTGAGGCCCTGGGGGAAGATGAATGGAGGCATAGTATACCCGTCGGACCACACACACACACACACATATATATATATGAAGAAATATAGTTTTAAGTTGTGCTATATTTATGGAAGAAAGTGCTCAATATCAGAGATAGAGCGTATGTAAATATGAATATGTTTCATGGTAGACGCAATCGTCAGTCCTAGCATGTTACATATATATATATATATATATATATATATATATATATATATTCTGTTTATAAGTTATTTTTATAGATACAATTTATTTAAGTAAATGCTCTGTTTTGTAATTAAACAGTATTAATTACATTTACTGGTCTGAATGTTCGAGAAAATTCGTAGGAAATATGCGTTCTTCAAGAGGAATCGAACCTGTATCCTATACGGACCGTCATTTAATCTGACGTGCTATACCACTTAGCTATAGAGAAGCGTCTGCTTAGCAATTTTTAATCAGAAATATATTCATTACATCAAACATTATTGTCGTGGATACCTGTTTTTGAGTAGAACGTCCGTGATATATATATATATATATATATATATATATATATATATATATATATAAAACAGACAATGAATGTCTATTATATCTGATCATGAGCCGTCCTAAACTTGGTATGTTTGCTTTAATTTTGGGTGATAATAAAGAAAAAATTTGTCCAACATTTGGATATTATTTTTATTAAGTTGTTCCTTGATCTAAGCTTTCAGCTCACATGAGCCAACTTCAGAGTGGTTATACGGACATTTAAACAACGTCATTCAACATCAAAGATGATATTCTCTTATGCTAACATAGAAGATTGCTATGTGACCATAACGGTCGTGGAATAGCAGACACAGGTCGTAAATTCATGATGCAGTTCTATGACATGATGAAGTTCTATGTCATATATATATATATATATATATATTATAAATTAACTGATTTAAAGTATGATTTTTTTCGCTACACAGTAGAAACCGTGTTTCAAAAACTGAAGCTAAATACTTCAAATTTAATTATATAATTAAATTAAATGCATTAGTTCCGTTTCTTTTTCAAGTGAATATTGGAATTCAAATATTCCCTTGAAGATGTAACGGAACTAATGCTTTTAATTTAATTATATAATTAAATTTGAAGTTTTATAGAACTATCGTTACTGTGTAGCGAAAAATCCATATTTTAAATCAGTTAATTTCTAATATTTATGCTCTGTAAATTTACATTGAACACTGTTTTTGTTATGCAACCTTACCCATAATAACATAATGGACTATTCCATACGTAATAAATACTGCGCCTCAAGAGGAAGCAGGGAGTTCAGTCTGAAGTCAGGCGACCGACTGACCGGCTGATCGGTTGGACTCTCTTCCTTCGGGCGGGGAGGAACCCGAACGAGGCTACGCCGAAGGGCGGAGTCTCTTTCGGGGAGGTAAACCGACCCTGAACCCGTTTATACGGGTTCAAAGGGCGTATTTTTGGCCGAGACCACGGGCTCGGAGATCCCACGTTAAACCCGCCTTGTGCCACATGATAGCCTCGTGGGGGGTGACTAAATACTGTTCAGTCTGAAGTCTGCAATGAGGTCCGTCAGAAGTCAGTCAGTCAGTCAGTCAGAGCGAGTCAGTCAGTCGAGTCAGAGGCAGTCCGAGTCCGAGTCCGAGTCGCGTTCAGACAATTACTACAAGACATTGGAATAGTGATACTGGTCGAGACTACATTGTTCTCCCTACTAAACCTGATTGTTCGTACTAACACTTTCTACTTCTCTGTATATATTCCTGTTTGTAATATATCTGTGTTATTCCATATCTGTGTTTGAGTTCTTCTTTATTGGTTCTACCTTGGACTATCACCCGGGGTACAAGAACCTGGACCATAACAAAAATGATCTTATTCATTGAATAGTGTTTTTTGTAATCTGACATTTTTTACACAGTTTTTACTTATCGAATACAGAAAAAAATTGCATATTTTGCTTGTGGTGATTCCTAATTAGAATTTTGGTTTGAATATATTTTCTATGCAATGTATTTAATACAAAAGATATCAATTTTATTTGGATTTATTCTTGAAATAGTAAAATTTTAAAGGTCAATTTGTAAGAAAACCCTGTAGAAATTAGATATTTCTGTACATTATTTTAAAATGATTTTTGAAACTAAATACTCAAAGATTGGTAAAAGTTATGAATCTAATTTTTGGTGTCAGTACTTATCCCATCAAACTCCAGCTTTCACACTGAGTGCAATGTTGATTTTTCTACAAAAAGTGAAAAAATCAAT